ACCATTCAGGTGAAGAATAAGGATGCCGTCAGCCTCCACCATGCACACGCGGACACACACTCATACACAATCACATACATACACTCAAACACACTCTCCCACACACATGCACACTCACTTTCTCACACTCATTTACACACTCACACACATACACACACTAATACACAATCACGCACACTCATACACACGCTCACATACACACTCACTCAAATACACACACTCACACACATACACGCACACACACTCACACGCACACTTGCATACACACATTCACACACACCCTCATGCACACACTCACACTTTCTAACACACACTCATACACACACTCACACATGCACTTACACTTTCTCACACACTCAGACACACATGCACACACACTCATGCACACTCTCACACTCACACACACCCACATACACAGATTCTCACACTCATTCACACACATACACACACTCACATACACACACTCACACACACACACACATGCTTTGCCTTCCTACTACCCCTTTGGTCAGATTTATGGTGAAAAGGAATGGAAACTAAACTTAACTATCTTAAGCATTTATTATTATTACGGATTATTTTCTAGACACAGGCTTTAGGAGAAATGATTGATCTTTACATTCCTTTAGTAATAAGTAGTTTTGGAGACGGAATATCATGTCCATTTTGAAGAAGAGAAACTGAGTCTCAAAGAGGTTATGTGGATTGTCTACATTCACCAGTGAAGAGTGGCCGACCTGAGCTTCAGATGCAGGTCTGCCCTGCTGCGTGCTGTGCTGACCGCAGTGTCCTTGGTGGTAGGGAGCTTCCCAGGCCGACAGCTCCCGTGAAGGCTTCTGCATGAGCCTGGGCACCGCCCTGTCGTTTGTCCTTTAACTGTGTTTGTCTCTGGTGCCCTGAAGGATGGTCCCCAGGACACCAGCACTTGGGTGACTGCAGGCGGGACCAGCCCCGTGGTGAGTGGGGGCCGGGATGACGAGCTTGCAGACACTGTCGGCCAAGCATCTCGCCTGCGGGCCGCCTGCCCAGGGCCCCTTACGACTGTGCAGGCAGTGACCACGAGGCCTGGGTGTGCAGACAGATGGAACAGTGTCCGAGCAGGTGGCCTCTCGGGTTCCTGGCTGGGAGTGAAGGAGCTTGGGGTGTCCCCTGAGCCTGGCTTCCCCTCCCCAGGGGGCTCCTGTGTGTGGCTTCGGCTTCCCAGGCCAGCCCTGAGAGTCTGGGGTGGAGGGCCCAGTGGGAGGGGGTCAGACCCTCAGGTGCTGGTCCACACCCGGGTCTGGCTTTGATGAAGTTTTCACCTCTGATGTAAGCAAAAGCAATAAGGACAGGGCCGTGAGGACTTTTAGGGTTTGCTTTTATCTTAAATCTAAATGCAGCCAATGCCATGGACACTCTTCTGGTCTGGGAGCAGAATTAGGTGTTAAAACGTCCTCTGCCGTGAAGAGACACTGGACTTATGGCAGTTATTTCTGAATCATGCCCACTGGCTGGGTCTGAGCTGGACACTCGACACCATGGTTCCCACTGTCTGGGGGAACTGCTGCCGGCTCGTGACATCCAGAGGTGGGGTGTGGGACTCGTGGGCCAGAGGGGAGGCAGGCGGGAGCACGGCGAGGAGCCCTGGCTGGGACACCCCTCCTGTGCGAGGCCCCTCCTAGCCCTGCACACCCAGAGGACAGTCAGATGGTCGCTGAGCACCTTCCGGCCGTGGGCTCCAGTGGCTGCAGACATGAGGGTCTGGCTCACGGACCTGACAGGTGGAGGGGCCCGGGACGGGGTGGCCTCCCCGACAGCTGCTCGGTGGTCTGAGACGAGCCCGAAGCACACAGCGGAGCCCGGCCGCCCTGGTGGGACGATGGGCAAGGTCTGTTTTAAGTGCCATCGACATAGTCACGCCGCCTCTGCTCGTGAAAAAGTCCTGTTTGATTCCCCCTTTTGTGGGATCCGTGCTGCACGGTCCATGAAGCCCACGGTGCCATTTTAAGAAAGAAGTCCCCGAATTACTTCCTTATTGCATTAAAATAGGGTAATGACGTTGCCGATTTAGATGGAGCCCCTGTCATGGTATTTGATCAATATTTGGTAAATCCATGCAGTAAAAAATTTTTTTTCTTTATTGATTTTAGAGAGAGAGGAAGGGAGAGGGAGAGAGATAAAAACATTGACGAGAGAGAACGTGGATTGGCAGCCTCCTGCACGCCCCCCTGGGGATGGGCCCACAACCTGGGCACAGGCCCTGACCAGGGATCAAACCAGGACCTCTTGGTGCAGGGTCGACGCTCAACCACTGAGCCACACCAGCCGGGCAATGAATGCATTTTAATAAAAGGTACTTGCATCTGGATTTGTCACACTATAAATAAACATACCTGGCAGCTGTTTTTCTTTAAAAAAAAAAAAAAAAGGCCAATTTGGCAGGGGGTCTCCTGCATACGACTGTACAGTCCACCTGGTTTCCAGAACCGCCAGCCCGACTGGTGCTCCCGGAGCTCGCGCCAGCGTCACGGTCCAAGGCGCGCGTCCGCGGCGCAGCTGTGGGCCTTGGCCTGGCATCTTCCTTCTGGCCCCACCCTGTGATTCATCCTTCTGCTTTTAGACGATTCGCCTATTTTTAAAACCAGTCAAGGAAGGCAGCCACTGCTGGAAAGTAAACACCACACGTCAAGGAGGGCCGCTTGGTGAGCCGCTCACCAGCCCCCGTTCTGGCGGGCGGGGCGCGGCCGGAGCAGATGGCCGAGCAGGAGGGGCCCGGCTGGTGCTCAGACTCCGCCACCTCCGCACATCTGTCTTCGGTCTTCGTGCTGTGGCTGCCATTCCCTGCTTGGAATGATCAACCTGATGCACGTTTCAACGAAAGGCTTACTCCCCTTTTGCCACCGGAACGTATCGATTCCGTGCTTATTTCCGCGTCAGTTGATCAGGCGTCCCTGGCGGCTCCAGGAGCCTTTACGTATCTGCAGTTATCAGCGTGGTCACACGTCTGTGCTTGTATGTGCTGTGATTAACGACACAGGTTTCTGTCATGGGCTTCGTTAATTCTGGGTCCCACTGGGTATTTGCTATTTATTTCGCGAAAGCAAAGCAAATGAATTCTTTTTTATAATGAAGGAGGCAGGGTGTGAGTTCACTGGGAGCCCGGCTTCCGCTCCTGGCTGCCCTCGGCCCTGCCCTGCACACAGCAGCCTCTGCTCCCCGAACCTGCTCGTCTGGGTTTGGTGGGGTTGGGACGCCCAAGTGTAGCACGTTCCTAGTTACCTGTGCCAAACCGTCCGGCCTTGAACTCACTGAGGCAAAGTAACCACAATGTCTGGGATGTTGCTATTTTATCAAAGTACATTTTAAATGCACCTTTGACCCAAATCCATTGAAAAGCTACAGGTTTTATAATGAAGGTCACCGCGAAAGGGTCATTGGCAACAACGGAATATTTACGACTTCTGTCCAACTCCTGGCAAACGATGGGCGGATTTAAAAACCCGCAGTGTTTGGCAGAAGGTGTCACCTCTGATCTGAGCAGGAAGAGGCCTCCAGCCTGCAGGGAGGGACTGGGGAAGATTCTCGTTTCTGCTTCTCTGAAGCTGGTCCGTGTCTGTGAGCCTGGGCACAGGGACCGAAGGCTCCCAGCGGCGATGCCCTGGGCTCACGCTCTCGTCAGCGCAGAATTCTGACCTTGTGCTTGACTGAAACACACCAGAGGCTGCCACGTGCCGTGAGCCGAGGTGCGTGGCTGGGGCTGGTGCTGCCCCGTGGCAGTGATCTTCTGGTGACTGTCGTCGCGCCGTCAAAGAAGCCTCACGCGTTAGACGCGGGACCTCTGTGCCTTGCTCCGGGCTGGTCCCAGCACAGAGGGAGCTTCTGCGCGGTGGACGGCCGGTGTCACGTCCTTGCGTCCCAACCGAACATCAGCAGTTCTCAGAAATAACTGGACTGTGGTAGCGAGGCTGCGAAGACGACCTTCCTGTCCTTTGTTACAGTTCGCGGTAGCTTTGGGTTTATTCTCCTTTGAGGCTGTTTTGCCCCCGTCTGAGTCCCGGGGAGGTGTTGTCAACAGGAGGGGAAGGCGAGTCGCCACGGGACCTGCGGAGCCAGCGCCACGCGTTGGTGCCGTTGACGGCGGTGCCGGCCTCTCCCGCCAGGGCCTTGTCAGCAGGCTGTTCTTGAAGAGGTTCGGGGGTGACCTGGGTATCTGAGGCCAAACTTCTCTCAGGTTTCGTCGGATGCTTCTGAGATCGGCACCTGCTCCTCCAGAAACACCTGCCAGGCAGGCGGCTTGGACACAGAGGTGCCCCTGTCCCTCCTGCATCGAGGCTGTGGGCCGAGCCTCCCTGCCCTTCCCCTGCGGTGACCCAGCGGGGACGCTGCTCGACTGCCCCACGCAGCTGCGCCTTCGTGGGGTTGTGGCCGGACAGAGAGCAAAGCCACCCGGGCTGGCCGCCCCGGCCCTGCAGTCACGTCTCCTTCTCACTGACACGCTCTCTTCTGTCCTCCGCGGGGTCTGCGCCTTGTCAGAGCACCTTCCTGTGTCTCACGCAGGAGTATTGAACCATGAGCAATGCTTCTTTTTTTAAAAAATGTTTTTTATTGATTTTTTTAGAGAGAGAGGAAGGGAGAGGGAGAGAGAGATAGAAACACCCTTGAGCGAGAAGTGTCAACATCGACGGCTGCCTCCTCCGGCAGCCCCACTGGGATCGAGCCCACAACCCGGCCTGTGCGCTGACCGGGGAGCCACAGGGACCTCAGTCCAGGGGACGGTGCTCAGTCCCTGAGCCACACTGGCCGGGCGGAGCCCTGCTCCCTCCGTGGAGAACATTTGTACACTGGTCCCGCCGACTGAGCTCATGTCCTTCTGTTTGTATCGAATGCGACGGAAATTGTCTCCTGCAGCCTGTCTGCCCGCGACTAAGTGACGGCCAGCAGAGGCCGTCGGCCCTGACGGTCTAACCAGGACGGCTCATGCGGGAGAGGGCTCTAGGGTGACAGTTTTGTTTTCATTCCAGATGGGACGCCTCCGGAAGACCCCTCTCCTCCGGCCTTCCCGGAACTAGAGCAGCAGCTGCAGGTAAGGAGCCTCCGGCCGCCCTCCCTCCTGGGTCACAGAGCAGGAGGAGGGGTGGCCGAGCTGGGAGACAGACAGAGGGAGCCTGCGGCCACCGGGCTTGCGTTTCCAGAGCTGGGGTCAGGCCGCAGCCCCTGCACGACGTCCCTGCCTGGGGTCCAGCTACAGCCGACATCAAGACCGTGCAGGGAGCCCTGGCCAGTTTGGCTCAGCGGTTAGAGCGTCGGCCTGTGGTCCAGAGAGACCTGGGTTCAGTTCCCGCTAAGGGCATGTACCTCGGTTGCAGTTTGTCCCCGGCCCCGGTTGGTCGTGCGGGTGGCAGCCACTCGATGTGTCCCTTTCATGTTGATGTTTTTTTCTCTCTCTCTCTCTTCCTCTCCCTCCCTCCCACTCTACCTGAACAAAAAATCGAAAAATGTCCTCGGGTGAGGATAAAAAATAAAAATAAAAAAGACCGTGCAGGGAGCCCTGGGCCTGGACCAGCCGAACGTGCTCCCTGGTCTCCAGACAGCGCAGAGGGTCTGGCTGGGTCAGGAAGTTAATAAAACACGATGCGGAAGACATGTCCGTGTGGCGACTTCAGAAGCATCTTCCTTCCTCTGCCCTCCACGGTTTTCTGACAGCTTTTAACATCATACAGTTGTGTTAGTCAGACCTTGGCAGTGCCGTCTGTGACCCATGCGGACAGTGCCGTGTGCACAGTTATGGACGATTTGGGAAAGAGACCCCGTTTGAACGCATCAGGATGGTTGGGAAGGAGCCTCTTTGGGACATTTCCGTTCTCTTTAGCGGATGGGGCGGATCCAGGCAAACACGGCTCTAGGGAGAGGTTCTGCCTCGGGCCAGGAGTCTGCCTCACAGGGGTCACAGGTCAGCGCACAGGGGTCACAGGGCTCGGGCCCTGTGCACAGACCTCGGGCCCTGTGCACAGACCTCTGCGTAGCCGCCACTTACCTTTCTCTAAGTGTTGCTTTTGGGAGCCTCTTGGAGGGGCCCGCAACCCCCAGCTCCCAGCAGACTGGTGTCTCCTCACACTCCCGGTCCCCTGGAGGCATTGGAACTGGGGACCCTGTTCCTGAACAGCCCGCGACCGGGGGGATGAACCAAGAAGGGGCTGGTGCCCCTTTTCCTCAGCCTGTTCTCACCTCCGTGCCTGTGCCCGGAGCTGGTGCTCCTGCGGGGCGGCCCCCTGGAGGGGTCCTCACTCTCCCCGCCCAGCAGAGCAGTACTGGGGTGGAGACTGCGGAAGGTTGTCCAGCATGTGGGGGTCACACCTGCTGTCGAAAGGGCTCCGTTCTCTCGACCGTGCTCCGCAGCTCCAGCTGACCTCGCCCCCTCTCCTCCTGCGTCCGTGCAGGGTCCTCAGCCTGCTGCACCCCTGCCTCTGCCGCCCCCATGGTCCCCACTTCCTTTTCTGTTCCCACGGATAACACCCAGGCTCTCTGTCCGCCCGTCTGTCCGGCACGCGCCCCTGGCTCCATGTTCCTGCTTGGCGTCTGGCTCCGCCCCAGGGCTGTCTGGGAGCTGCTGGTGTGGGTGGGACTATGACTGTGTTTGTCCCTGTCACTGTTTCTCCTGCTTCACGGAACCGTCATCGCCAAGTATTTTATCATCACGAAAGTCCAACGAGCATAAAGAGCAAACGTGCTTCAAACTCGCACAGTGAAGCCTTTCAGGTTCATGTTCCCCCTCAAGTTGTGGGCCATTAATTCTACTTTTTTTGTTATTGGAAAAAAGTGCTTTTTTCCTTTGGGCACATAAATGATCTTTCCTGGCCCACGGGTCGTCCTCCACAGGAGTCATGGCCGTTATCGGCATCATCTCTCTGTGAAAGCATTTCATTTCATAGCTTTATTTCCACCTGACGTATTTCAGAAGTTAATTCTCTTTAATTACCTCAATCCAACAAGCTGTCTCGTCTTTAGGGTCCTCATGCGCTGGGTCCTCACGCGTTGGGCAGCTGAGAGGCGGCTGTCGGCTCGCGGGGGTGACCGCCATGACCTTCAGCGGGGGTTCGCGGCGTCGTGAACAGAGAACATTCCGACATTGAAGTAACGTCTTGACTGCGAGCGAGGGACGTGGTCGGCCCATTGTGAACATTTGCAGTTGTCAGGAGCTTGTCGGTGACTGGTCTCGGAGGTCGCCTGTTCCTGTGCTGACACCGCAGGGCAGGGGCGGTGGGGGCCGAGGGGAAGAGCTGACACGGGAAACCACACCTGCGCACAGTCTCACTCCCACGCTGACGTGAGCGTGCACACCTGCGCCGGGGGGTCCTGGGAGCCAGGCAGTGCTGACGTGCAGAAGGACAGCCGTCTGCGGAGCAGGTGGTCCTCAGCCAGCGCCTGGGCAGTCCTCTGCGGGGGCGCGGGGAGGCCTGGGGCTCCCGGAACCGTGGGCTGGTCGCTGTCCGCGTGCACGGGGACTGACTCCATCTCTGCTGCAGCCCAGGTGCCAGGGAACAGCAGCGACGCCAGCCCTGCCCCGCGTGCCCTCGGCGTTGGCGGCACCTGTTCACACGAGCACGGTGGGCCAGGTGTTCCCCGCAAACGGTCTTATCTGAACATGGCGACAACTTCCTTTTTTTAGAAAATGTTTTTATTGATTTTTTAGAGAGAGGAAGGGAGAGATAGAAGCACCCATGTGAGAGAAAAACATGGATCGGCCGCTTGCTGCACGCCCCCTACTGGGGATCGAGCCCGCAGCCCGGGCATGTGCCCACCGCCCGGTCGGTGGGACGATGCGCCGTCAACTGAGCCACGTTGGTTGGTCCCTGGCAACTACTTTATAAGCTGACTACTATTTCGAGATGGGACATGTAAGGTCAGGTTTTTGTCTGAACACATTGGCCAACGCAGATGACCTCTGCTCTGCATCTAGGTAACCTCTGGGACACCTGTTGCGGAACCTATCGAAGCTTCAATTGCTTCGATAGGAGGAGTTTTTTTATGTCTCGCTTGTGAGGGTGCCGTGCTGGGGTCGTAGAACGACCTTGTAAAGTCTGTTCCGACTTTCTGATACCATTACGCCCTCTTTTCTCATCTGTGAAATACCTACTTGGTGGACACGCTATCAGCAATTTGACCCCCAGGATTTTTCTGTGGCTTTGCCAAGAATGTGGACATGTTTGAGCCTGTAATTCGTGGTGCTTCTATTTTCACAGAAGCCAAAAACAGCCTGTGCGAGAATAGCTGTGACACCCGCTGCCTTGATGTCTCTGTTAATGCCGAGCGCTGGGCCAGAGACCTGGGCCAGGTGTTAAAACGAACGTCTCTTCACGGGCTTCGTTCGCGGGCCGGAGGCCTCGCCAGGGGCAGGCTGATTCTATTTTGTGTGGATTCCTTTCCTGGAAATGGGTTTCTAAACTCTCCAGCCCATGGAGAGTGTGGGTGGAGCTCGTCTGGCCACGAGGGGCCACGTTAGTCCCCTTCTAAGAATGAATGAAAAGTCGCTCCTCTGGTAGACGCCTGTTTCCTTCTGTTTGAACAAGGTAGTGACCGGCCTCCCTCTCTGTTCGGAAGGTGGGACAGTCCTTTAACAGGCCCAGGGTCTGGGTCAGGACGACCTTGGTCTCTGAACTGAACGGCGCTGCCGTGTTTCGGAGATCACGGTGCGGCGCGTAGATGATCCAAAGCTAAGCGGCAGGGAGGTCGTCGCTGGGACGAGGGGCGTGTTTTCATGACCACGGGGGGTGGAGGGGGGTGGACAAACCTGTGGAATCAGGACGATGGGAAGAGGGGCCTCGCCTTCCACTCGCCGGACTGGAGGTCGGCCCACAACGGCCAGGTCTGTGGTCTGGGGAGCAGTGTGCACTGTCCGGACCTCACTTCTCTGAGCTGCAAAGTGGCGAGCGTGTCCGGCTCCGTGACTGTGGTGGGACTCAGACGTGGAGCTGGCACAGCGCTCGGCAGAGTGACCACTCGACTCATGTTTGTTTCTTCCCTAGTGAAACTGTTAGTGAATGAAGCATTTAAGAATTTATAATTAGCCCGGCCGGTGTGGGTCAGTGGTTGAGCGTCGACCCTGCACCAGGAGGTCGCTGGTTTGATTCCCGGTCAGGACACAGGCCCAGGTTGTGGGCTGATCCCCAGTGGGGGGCGTGCAGGAGGCGGCCAGTCTATGTTCTCTCTCATCGATGTTTCCATCTCTCTCTCCTTCTCCCTTCCTCCCTCGCTCAAAAATCAATAAAGAAAAAAAATGGTAATTAGAGTTGGGGATAGAGGTTCTGACATCTCTTTCCATGAAGTCAAGGTACTTGGAAAACAATATGACTTTTTTTTTTTTAAGCAAATTGAGCAGTAGTTTTGCCCCCCTGCCCAAAGCCCTCCCATCGCATCTGAGAAGACAGTGACAGGTGTCTCTGTGGTACACACTGAACTTCCTTTTCTCAGACAGTGTCTGCTGAGTCCAGAGACTGATGTCACCTCCGCAAATAAACAGTGTGCAGCCCGAGTGGTTACTATAATATCTTGTTATCCGAGTAGTCTCTCCAGCAACTTCGTTCAGGTCCTGCATCAGTCTGTTGCTTGATAGCTGTGAAGGCAAAATGTGGAAAAGGGAAAGAAAGTCTCAGCGTCCCAGGGCCCGTGAACACCCGGCGGGGTACGGCTGCGTGTTCCCCTCGAACACGTTGAGAAATATCGTGCAGCATCTTTGGCTACTGTGACCAGAGAGAAAATATCTATAGATCCTTGAAACGTTATGATGGCACCTTTTATTTTTCATTTTTTTAGAAACCCAGTGGTCATCGGGATATGCTTGTAGGAAAAGTTTGAGACACCCTTTCTGTATTGCCGGTGTGAAAGGGAAGGACCCACGACCTTCCTTCTAAAGTTAACAGTGCGTAAGATACGCTCCTGTTTGTGGGTGCTGCCGCCGACCTTACTGTGGGCACCGCAGAAACGTCAGCCCTTAAAATGTTTAAATATCTGAAAGTCTAAGATCACAGCCTCTTCAAATATTACGAGTCCCGAGTATGTTTTTCCCTTCAGTTTTAACAAGTTATGCTTGTTAATTTGGGGGCATTAAAGTGCACCATAAATTTAAACCAGACGCCCCCACGGGCCCCCCAAATAAAGGTAACATCGAGAATTAAGGAATAAATACAAAGTCTGCTCGGCAGCCGCCGCATATTTAGCTTCCTAAATATACCTGGTGTGCGGGAAGCTGGGTGAGGAAAATGAACGTCTTACGTTTTGGAAGCGGACGGCGGACGGGCCAGTAGTATTTGGAGAAGCCCAGGAGAAAACGGAAACGCTTAAGCTGGCTTGGCCCTGGGGAGGATGTTTGGCCGGGTCCTCTCCCAGGGGGCCGAGCCAGGGCTCCAAACCAGTGTCCGGCGGGCGGAGGTGGGGGCAAGGCTCTCGCTGGCATTCCTGGGACAAGAGCCTGTGATTTCTCTGTTACTTCATCGTGTTAAATCCGTCCTGGCGAGTGGGGTGGCGCAGGCTCTGCCCTGTAATTTAAGGCCTTGGAGCTCTGTCCCCAGCAGCAGCTGGAGGAGGCGGAGGGGGAGGGGGGAGGAAGTGCCCTCGTGGGGTCTGACCTCAGGCAAACCCCGTCTGCGTCTTGGAAAAGCGGTTCAGAGTTGGCTGAGACTCTGTTAGGAGAATGTCTTAATCTAACCTCCTTGGGGCTGGCGGTGCTGAGTGGGGGGCGTGGACGGTGCGTCTGGGGTCTGAGGTCTTCGGCTTCCAGGTGCGGCTGGCTCTCCCTGGAGGGTGCTGTTCCGCCCTTTCAGCCAGAGTGTGAGGTGCCTGTGCCCCAAGTGCGGGGGATGCAGCTTCACGATGGAGAAAGTGAGCGCATTTCGCCTCCTGGTGCAAAAAGAAATTCATCATCAACACAAAGTTTATTTTTTGCTCATTCACTCCCAGGCCGGGAATAGCTACAGAGATCTCTCGGACAAGAATAGTTAAAATTGAGCGATGAGAATTGAAGCAAAAATAAAAGTGTTAATTCTTATTCCGAGAAGTTAATAGACTATTTCATCCGGTTACCACAGACTTTCTTTTAAGATACTTTTTAGTTTTTAGTGTGAACATGTGTTAGTGTCTTAAACACATGTGTGGCCAATTAACTTGTGAGTGCCTGAGTTTTACATGTCACATGACGGAAGCTGACCGGTAGCTCCATTTTTAAATTGGAAACTTAATTCTTGTGCTTGAATTTCAGGAATTTATTTCCTCAGGCAAATATGTGAATGGACACTGTTGGTCATGTACTGTTTCCTATTTAGAGGGGTTGTGAGAAGGTAAGAGAGAGTCACTCTCCATGAACACCTTAGATGGTACACACCAGGACACAAAACCACATACACACAAACACACACATGTGCACACACAAACACACATACACACAAAATTACTTACACACACACAAATACACAGAAACACACAGAGAAACATACAAACACACACATACACACAAACACACAAAACCACACACAACCAAACATACACAAACACAGAGAAACACACATGCACACTCAGATACACACACAAACACATGCATATAAACACACACAAACACACGCACACATGTACACAAGCACACATACACAGGAACACAATACATACAAACACACACACATACAGAAACACATGTACACATCATATCACAAAGCAATGATAGTGTCCTATGTCATACAGAACGTTACATTTCATTACAGTTCTATTTTTGTATCAGGTATAAAACCTAAATATTTTAATACTCTCATTCATCAGAAGAACATACGTGTGTAAAATTCCTTGGTGAGTCTCCAGGCTGCAGTAAATGTCCAGTGATGTCAGAGCCTCTGCGGACAGCGGGTCCCACTGACCAGGGCACTTTGGTCTCCAGCAGCACTGGGGTCAGTGTCTCCCGATGAGAAGAGAGGTTCCCTGGGGGGAAGGCTGGGAGCTCAGACAGGGCGTCCTGGCCGCAGGGCTCGGAAGGTGGCCGGGAGGAAGATTTAATGATAACTCTTTTTTTGGCATTAACTTTTTTTTTATCATGGTAAAAACACGTAACATAAACGTTAGCATCCTAATCATTTCTCAGTGTACAGTTCGGTGGTGTTAAGTACATTCACATGGTTGTGTGACCATCTACAGAGCTTCTTCATCATGCAGAACTGGAACTCGACGCATTGAACAGCAGCTCCCCGTCCCTGCCCCGCCCTGGCAATCGGCACCACAATTGTACGGTGCAGTCGTGGGTGCGTTGTGCCAGATAACGTCTGTCCTTGCTTTAAACGAAATCTACCTTTCTCTTTAATGCTTTCATGCAAATTGGGAGACCTTGATGTGGTGCTGAGTTCACGGGTCACGTTGGGGAGCAGACAGGTGTGGGACCTGGAGCTGAGGGGTACCTGCACCCTTCCTCCCCCAAACACAGCACTGAGTGTTTTTGGTTCATTCTTCTAAAACTGGCATTGCTTCTTGCTTGTGGGAAATCTTGAACATATTATTATGTATAAGTAGTGTGGTCATCCTGCTAGGAGCACATGAGGATGCTGAATCTATCCCGAAATATCCCCTAATCATCAAATACCCCTTGCAGCAGGACCCTGCTCCCTGTACATAACTGTGTGTTTGACTTTCCCACAGTTATGAAGTGCTAATAAACAAGAATCCATGACAAAAAATTTCCACTTAATAAAAAACTAAGGTGGGGCGGAGTGGGGTAAGAGGTCTTTCTCTTCTTAAGGAAAGTTCATATCTAATGTTCAGTTTTCCCTTTTAATTATGGCAGCAAAGGACAGTCCCCCTTGGTCGCGGCCGCCCGGGAACCCTTGCAGAGTCCCGAGTCTGTGTCTTTTGGCTGTCACAGGTAGCAATGCTGCACGTTTGGTTCAGGCCCCTACACCTGGCAGGTTACAGCCTGAACCGAGTGCTCTGTGAGTTTCATACGGACAGGACGCAGATGCGCAGAGTCTCAGGGCCTCCCAACATGCAAATCCCGTCACAGGGCCTGGGTGACTTCCCAGCGCTTGGCCAGACTGCCCAGAGTAAATGGCTTCCACTCGCCTCGCTGTTCCTGGCCATTTGCCAGCGGAACAGGTGAGACTTGATGAGGGTGCTGAGTTCAAGGGCAGACTCGGAGGAGCCAGGAGTTCTGAATTCCTTTGGCAACAGCTTTGTCTCCGGGGGTGAGTTGCACTGTGATACTGCCCGGCACTGTTTGTCCACTTACTTCTGTGTAGAAAGGGGTACCGGTCCCAGCAGGCTGAGCTCATACTGTGTGTGTGGTCTGGGACGAGAAGAAAAGGTGCTGCATAATGTAATTTTTTATTCGATTTTCCATTAGTTAGGGCACAACGGAATTTACAGGAAGGTCAATTTCCTCCAAATCGATTTCGAATTTTATTTCTTTAAAGATCTGTACTCAGAGGGGTCTCATGATAAATGAGAAGGGTCATCTCGTCCATCAATCAGACAATAAACTTTATAGAATTTCTGTTGCATCCTGGGTGGGGGTCCCTAAACATGACACCCAAAGAAATCTGTGTCCTTGAAGAATGTGAGGGGTGGAGCAAGCAGTACGAGTTTATTAGTGATAGTTACTAACACGAAAGCAAGGAGGAGATGCGGACACACAGACACGACAGACACACAGACACCACAGACACACAGACATGACAGACACACAGACACGCACAGACACACAGACACGCACAGACACACAGACACGACAGACACACAGACACGCACAGACACACAGGCATGACAGACACAGACACGCACAGACACACAGACACACAGACACGACAGACACGACAGACACACAGACACGACAGACACACAGACACGCACAGACACCACAGACACACAGACATGACAGACACACAGACACGCACAGACACACAGACACGCACAGACACACAAACACGACAGACACACAGACACGCACAGACACCACAGACACACAGACACGACAGACACCACAGACACACAGACACGACAGACACACAGACACGCACAGACACCACAGACACACAGACATGACAGACACACAGACACGCACAGACACACAGACACGCACAGACACGCAGACACGACAGACCACGCGAAGCAGGTTAGACGGAAGGCCCGTGGATCAAGGAGATCCGATTTCTCAGATATTATATAACATTTTCCTACAAATAATTGAAATGGGCATTAAAACCTTCTTAAAAGACTATTAACGAGTGTTTCTAGAAATAATGGTTTTACTAGTGTGCTGCTAACTAGAAATTGGAATTATAAACTCCGGGAAGGCTAGTTCTTCAAAACCGACTCCCGAAGCGGGCCTTCCCCAGGGGACGGTGGCGGGAGGCCCCGCTGCACGTCCTCCACTTGGGGTGCGGTCTTCCCTGCAAGTATCAGTTTGGGTGATTTCTCAGAAGAGAGCCTTCCCTACGGCCACTCCCGGGAGGTGAGTTGATGCCCCTGGTCCGCAGGACCAGAAAGCTGGGTCCCGGGAACAGACCCCGAAAACTCCCCCCAGGCCCTGGCCCAGCAGGGGCGGCAGGCGGGTCTCGGTCGGGCCTGGGGGTGCCTGACTGACCGGAAGGCGAGCGCGGGGCGTGTTCACACCGGCAGAGTCCGAGGGTTCTGCCCGGGTCACCGACAAGGCGGGTCCCACGGCCGCGCCCCCCTGAGAACATCGGAGGGCAGAGCGCTCGGCGCTCGTCCTGGTGCAGAAAACGACTGGTCTCTCCTTGTCCCGAAGCCGCTGCCGCCGCGCCCCGACTCGCTGGAGTCCGTGCAGGTCTTCAAGCAGCACTGCCGGCTGGCGGAGGAGTACCGGGCGGTGCGGCGGGAGATCGCGCTGCTGGAGGCCAGGAGGTCAGTGCCGGGCTGGGGGGCGGGGAGCAGGGGGCAGGTGGGGGGGTGCAGGGGACAGGAGGTGGGGGGGCAGGGGGCAGGGGACAGGAGATGGGGGGGCAGGGGGGTGCAGGGGACGGGGGAGCAGGGGACGGGGGCAGAGGACGGGGGGAGCAGGAGACTGGGGGGTGCAGGGGACTGGGGGTGCAGGGGACTGGGGGTGCAGGGGACGGGGGGTACAGGGGATGGGGGTGCAGGGGACGGGGGGCATGGGGCAGGGAGCAGGGGTGACGGGGGCGCAGAGGGCTGGGGCGGGGGTTGGGTGGCGGACAGGGTGCAGGGGGCGGGTCCCCAGGCGGCCTCCTGTGTCCCGTCCGCTGCAGAGCTGATCCGGGGGCCCCGGGGCCTCGATACTTTATGAGCCGTGAGGAGCAACCTGGGCGCTCTCTTCCCTGAACTTAAGTTTTTTTATTTATTTGTTTATTTAGTTAATTCAGACAGCGGGAAGGAGAGAGGGGGGAGGAGGGAGAAACATGCGTGGAAGGGACACACGGAGTGGCTGCCACCCCCACGGCCCACCAGGCGGGGGACACACCGCAGCCCAGGTCCGTGCGCTCAGGGACGATCTCAGGACTCGGGTCGCAGCGGTGCGCTGACCGCTGAGGCACCGGCCGGAGCCCCACCGTCAGACAGAGATGCCCAAGGCCCCCGGGGGGGCGCTCCCCACCCCCAGGCCCGGCTCATCCGCTGCGGGGGGCTGTGCCTAATGCGAACCTACGGCTCCCCCAGCAGGAGATGAGCATAGAGCGAGGGCTAGGGTCAGAGCGACGCATGCGTGCTGGACAGTGCCGTGCGCGTTGACTGAGTGACGCACAAGCGTTGGAAGAGTGACGCATGCGTGCTGGACAGTGCCGTGCGCGTTGACTGAGTGACGCACAAGCGTTGGAAGAGTGACGCATGCGTGCTGGACCAGTGCCGTGCGTGTTGAAGGAGTGACACACAAGCGTTGGAAGAGTGACGCATGCGTGCTGGACAGTGCTGTGCGCGTTGACTGAGTGACGCACAAGCGTTGGAAGAGTGACGCATGCGTGCTGGACAGTGCCGTGCGCGTTGACTGAGTGACGCACAAGCGTTGGAAGAGTGACGCATGCGTGCTGGACCAGTGCCGTGCGTGATGACTGAGTGACGCACAAGCGTTGGAAGAGTGACGCATGCGTGTTGAGTGAACCCGGACATTGCCTATAACTCTGCTTCTCTTCCTCTTACTGAAGAGGCACAACACGCATATTTATTATTTAATTCTTAAATCAAAGTAGGTGTAATATATTTTGTTGTGAGAAATTCACGAGTCTGTTGGGACTCTGCAGACGCGTGCCTGGCGTTGCCCAGGTAACACGGTGGGGGGCTGGGGTGGGGGTCGGGCTGCCACACCCCTCGAGCCCCCGTGAGCGGGTCGCGGACCCCGCCCCTGGCCACCGGCGGGTGTGGCGATCGGCACAGCTCGGCTCGTAGCCTCGCGCTTCTTGTCGGGCCGAGGCTTCCTGAGCGCGGGGAGCAGCTTCCGAAGGGACCTGAGGGCGCTGGTACCGGGGTGGCCGGCGGCAGGTCCCAGGAGGACGTGAGCCGTCTGCGCCCACAGGTGTCAGTGCGTGTGTGTGGTGTGCACGCGTGTGCGCGTGTGTGCGCGTGAGCAGGTCTGTGAGTGCACAGGTGTCAGTGCGTGTGTGTGGTGTGCACGCGTGTGCGCGTGTGTGCGCGTGAGCAGGTCTGTGAGTGCACAGGTGTTAGTGCGTGTGTGTGGTGTGCACGCGTGTGCACGTGTGTGCGTGTGAGCAGGTCTGTGAGTGCACAGGTGTCAGTGCGTGTGTGTGGTGTGCACGCGTGTGCGCGTGTGTGCGTGTGAGCAGGTCTGTGAGTGCACAGGTGTCAGTGCGTGTGTGTGGTGTGCACGCGTGTGCACGTGTGTGCGTGTGAGCAGGTCTGTGAGTGCACAGGTGTCAGTGCGTGTGTGTGGTGTGCACGCGTGTGCGCGTGTGTGCGCGTGAGCAGGTCTGTGTGGACGTGTGGGGGCCTGAACTTTGGTGTCAGGACAGAGAAAGCAGGTGGTCATGTGTCTACTTGTGAACCCTCCAGGGAGGTTCTGGGAACGTTGTTGTCTGAACCAATGTGTGGCTTTGTCTGGGGGGGATGGAAGACTCACCCAGGACGTTGTATGATTTGTAAGTTTATATATATATATATTTTTTTTATCCTCACCCGAGGATATTTTTCCATTTTTTGTACAGATAGAGTGGGAGGGAGAGAGAGGAAGGGAGAGAGAGAGAGAAACATCGACGTGAAAGGGACACATCGAGTGGCTGCCACCCGCACGACCAACCAGGGCCGGGGACAAACTGCAACCGAAGTACATGCCCTTAGCGGGAACCGAACCTGGGTCTCTCCGGACCGCAGGCCGACGTTCTAACCACTGAGCCAAACTGGCCAGGGCGTACGTTTATATTTGTATGTTGCGTGTAGAGAGTGTGCTAGGGTGACAGTGAGCAGGACCCCCGGGGTCGGGCAGAGACGCTCCGGCTGCGTGTTCAGGGCGATGGTCTGTGGCTGCCACCACCGCGGTAAGAAGCGCGGAGCCGCCTTTGAGAAGGAAGGTGGCTGGAGGAGCCTGTGCACAGCCTGCCAGACCACAGTTCAGCTACTCGAAGGCCTTTCAGATAACTGCTACATGCGAAGCAACGCCAACTTCTTTTTTCTTCTTCTTTCTTTTTCATAAGGTCTCTCAAATTTTATTTTTTTATCCTCACCCGAGAATTTTTTTCCATCTTATCTTCAGATAAGGGGGGCGGGGCTAGAGACATCTATATGAGAGGGACACACAGACTGGTTGCCTCCTGCACGACCCCGACCAGGGCTGGGGATAAACCGCAACCGAGGTCCGTGCCCTTGACTGGAATCAGACCTGCAGCTCTTCGGTTCGCGGGCCAACGCTCTAACCGCTGAGCCAACTGGCCAGGGCTCTCAGATTTTTTCTTCATTCCTACATCTGCCATTTGGGAATGGGACTCGGAACTCCAAGTGTTGGTCAGTGTAATATTGTGCTGTGTGTCCTGGGAAGGACACACAGTGCTTGGCCTGGACTTCAAGACGGACCTGCGTATGACCTTTGTGCTTCTGTAGAATGTCCTTGCACCCTCGTCTTCGAGGCCACCGACCCCCACTGTCCTGCCTCCACCTGTGCTGGTCCACCTCAAGGCCGAGCATGCCCCTCCCTCCCCTCTGCTTCCCAAGGCCACCCTCCAGAGAAAGGCTTAGCCAGCCTGCCCTGCCCTCCTCAGGGCTCAGCTCTTTTCCTGAGCAAAGGAAAACTCAAAAGAATAAGACTTCCGGCCCTTTTTGTAGGTGGTGCTATCAACAGTCATCCACCTAAAGTCTGTCCTGTCTTTCCGACTGTGCTCCCTGCGGACACGGACACCCTGCCCCATCTCGTATCCCGCCTGCCGAGCAGGGAGCTGCGCTCAGGGTCGGACCGGAGGGCGGGTGCCTGGGGAGGGGCAGTTATAGGGGATCGTTTTATTTGTCATTTCTATGACTTATATTTAGAGTCAATATCAGCAATAAAGGCTAAGATAAATTGTTGAAATAGGAAATATGATTATATCTTATATTTATAAATAATGAGGTTGGTCCTCCAAGGGCTATTGGCCATCATTGTTTCATTAGCACGTTCCTGGAGCAGAGATTCACTGTGCAACATATTTTCCTAAATAACTTGTTTTCAAGCCAGATGAAGTGGGCCCACTGGATGTGACCTAAGTGACTGGCTCTCTGTTTCTTGGTGATTCGGGTGAAAGTTTCTTCCTCGTCACTTCCTGAAGTGTGGCCCCTGGTGAATGGTTACCAGCCGCACAGGGGGAGCTGCTGACTCAGGTCTTTCAGGAGTTTTATTGGAGTCGCCACCGGGTTAGGCTGATCTTCTCTTAATCTCCAGAGGGGGTCGCCTTGGCTCAGGGTTGAGAGACGCAGAGCAGCGAGAAGTTGGTTACAGCTGTGATTTTGTCATGGTGTTGGATAAACTTTTTTTTAGGATTATAAACTCTTCATAGAGTGAATTCCATTTAAAGAACCACTTCTAACCTATTGACTGATGATGTAAAAACAGCTTGCTCTTATTTTTATTGGATTTTTTTCTTTTCAATTGAAAAGAAAAATGGCACTTTTATTGAAAGCTTTATGAAAATTACCAAGAATTCTTACATCTTTGCAGAATTCCTGTTACCATTTTTGCCTATATATTTCTAGGCCTTTTGCATGTGAACACTTTTATATCATTACATATATAGTAATATGTAATATGTATGCTTTTTTCAGTAAATATTATAAGCTTTTCATATAACAGTTTCTGTGTTTGTAATGGAGACACAAAAAAGTGAGGTATGGACATTTTATGGCTTTGGACATTTGAATTGTTTGACGGGAAGTTTTTAATATGTAGCATTAAATAAACAATTAGATCTACAATTAGTAAAGATTGCTTTGCTCCAGAGAGAGCATCTTATCTCGTTCGAAGGAGAAGCCGCTTCATTATTCCAGACACGAGAACCATTGTGCTCCGGCTGTTGTGTTCGAAAGATAGAGCATCAGAAAAACAGATACACTCTCAGAAAAGTCAGGCTGGAAACACATAATTAAAGTAACTCCGTGGTTTCCAGTCTACTCAGAGTTGTGCAACCATCCCCACGATCGAGTGGTCAGCGAGTCCTCTCTCCCCTCCCCTGCTCCCCTGCTCACGTCTCTGAGGGGTTCCCAGGCCGATGCTTCAGATGGAATCAGACACGCGTGCTCGTTTGTGAATGGCTGCTTCTATTTAGCAGGTTCAGCCACGCAGCATCAGTACTTCATTCCTTTTGTACATGCCCCTAGCGGGAACCGAACCTGGGACTCTCTGGTCCACAGGCCAACGCTCCAACCGCTGAGCCAAACTGGCCAGGGCAGTACTTCATTCCTTTTTATCATGGATAAAGTTC